ACTATGTAATAAATATGAGATGCCATTGCACCAATGACCAGGTCCCCTGGCTCATACCACTCGTGTGGAACATGAACAGGATTATTTGTTGTGCATTTAGCACTTTGTCCTTGGGACACTATATTGGGGAGCATCGAAAGCAGCAGGAGCAACATCCTGATGGCAAATACCCTTGTGAGCATGGACTCCCCTGCTTCTCTCGACAGTATTATTCCTCTCCTCCACCTGATCTGAATAAGACAAATTGGGTGGCAGCTGACTCTGTCAATTTGGCACTTTAAAGGACATGTATCCACCTTATTGTTAGCTTGAACACGGTCACAACAGAATGCCTTGGATACCAAATAAGATGCAGTGGTTTGATATGAAAGAGGGAAACTGATAACTGATAAGTAACAGAGCCCAGCCTAGTTGTCTATGGAGCACAGAGGAGCTTATAATCATTTCAGGCTTGCTTGTTGATTCTTTTTCTCCACTGTGACATCTGGAGGTTCAGTCAGGTGGACTGATTATTGTAATTTTAGTAATGATAGGGGAGAGAATCAGTTGTGCAGTGTTTTTGGATTCTATGGCGCATCAGCAGTAGGGAACTGCTAAAATATTACTATTATTATATTTAAAAATTTTTTGTATTGATTTACCAAAATTGTTCCAATAGCAACCTCATTATAAGAATACCAATTTTATCTAATTAAGGCAATTATGAATGCCAATTATTCAAATGTCAAATTATATTATTTAATTAAACTGGCCCCCATGCATGCTAGATTTGATGGCTTCATTCTTCTGTTGGTATATTAGGTAATTTATAAAGCTTCAAGTGAGGAACTCTAAGTGTAATCCTTATTCTTTCCTGCGTGTGACAATTTCCCCTCATGATGTTTTCCCGTCCATATATGGTGCTGTATCCTTCATTCCTGCAACTGTTGATGGTTCCCACCATGCCCTGGGAAAAGCGGTTATCCCACAGTTTCTAAAAGTCACTGTATCACATTGTCCTGTGATTCGGCTTCCAGTAAAAAAGCAGTGTTCACCATTTTTTCCAGCCTAGGAGGAACACTCTGAATCCAGACTGCAGATACTGAATCCAAAAGCATCTATTACTGCAGCTGGTAGACAGGAAGCCGGATCTGCCAATGTAATTATATTTGTAACATCAGAAAATCATAGGCAAGGAATGAACCTACAAGGTCAGCAGGATGGCTAGAGTTGAGCTGGCCCCATCATTTCCCTGCTTCCTAATTTGTTAGTACTGGGGTATCCATCACTCTCCCACCTATGTAACACTGATCAGACATGGTCAAAATATTTTTTTTTCCCTGTAGCACCTTAAAGACCAACTAAGTTAGTTCTTGGTATAAGCTTTCGTGTGCATGCACACTTCTTCAGATACACTGAAACAGAAGTTGCCAGATCCTTCTATATATAGAGAAGGTGGGGAGGGGTATTACTCAGAAGGGTGGTGGGAATCGGAGATTGGCAGATAGCTGAGATGAGCCTGATGAGCCTGTTGACGACTCTTAACGACTGTAATAGGTCTTACAGGAAAAGGCAAGGGGTGAGAAGGTGAGAAATGGCTTAGTCATGTATAATGAGATAAGAATCCAATGTCTCTGTTCAGACCAGGTCTCTCCATTGTTTTAAGTTTGGTAATGAGTTGCAATTCAGCAGCTTCTCTTTCCAGTCTATTTCTGAAATAGACTGGAAAGAGAAATAGACTGGAAAGAGAAGCTGCTGAATTGCAACTCATTACCAAACTTAAAACAATGGAGAGACCTGGTCTGAACAGAGACATTGGATTCTTATCTCATTATACATGACTAAGCCATTTCTCACCTTCTCACCCCTTGCCTTTTCCTGTAAGACCTATTACAGTCGTTAAGAGTCGTCAACAGGCTCATCAGGCTCATCTCAGCTATCTGCCAATCTCCGATTCCCACCACCCTTCTGAGTAATACCCCTCCCCACCTTCTCTATATATAGAAGGATCTGGCAACTTCTGTTTCAGTGTATCTGAAGAAGTGTGCATGCACACGAAAGCTTATACCAAGAACTAACTTAGTTGGTCTTTAAGGTGCTACAGGAAAAAAAAAATTATTTTGACTATGGCAGACCAACACGGCTACCCATCTGTAACTGATCAGACATGGTTTGCCATCACATTAACTGAATGGTGGCAGAATTTTGGGATAGCATCCTTGCCTTATCAAGAAGTAGGGGCACCGGATTATAGCATCAATAGACCAATGGGATATCAGATCCACACAAGGCAAGATGGAGAACAGCAACAACTTGGAAAAGGTAGTTGTGACAAACTTGGCACCTCAGTTACCGCTCACGCCCATGTGTCCGCTCTCAATTAAATATATTGTCCCCACCTAACTGAACAACCTTTGACCAGAAGGCTTAAGAACGAAACCGAACTATCCCAGGATATCCTGTGGGAGATCTTTGTGAGGGGGATAACCAAGAAGTTAGAGTCTCAAGCAGGTGTTCTTTAACTAAACAATAAAGATTTATTTTTAGAACAAGGTAGTATAATACAAGTGGAGAAACTTAGGTTACTTCAGTAAGAATACACTTAAATTCGCTTTCAGAGGTTTGGGCTTTATAGTTTGGTTCCTTTCTAAGGCGGTAAAGGTAAAGATAAAGGGACCCTTGACCATTAGGTCCAGTCGTGACCGACTCTGGGGTTGCGGCACTCATCTTGCTCTATGGGCCGAGGGAGCCGGCGTTTGTCCGCAGACAGCTTCCGGGTCATGTGGCCAGCATGACTAAGCCACTTCTGGCGAACCAGAGCAGCGCACGGAAACACCGTTTACCTTCCCGCCAGAGCAGTTCCTATTTATCTACTTGCACTTTGACGTGCTTTCGAACTGCTAGGTTGGCAGGAGCTGGGACCGAGCAACGGGAGCTCACCCCGTCATGGGGATTCGAACCGCCGACCTTCTGATCGGCAAGTCCTAGGCTCTGTGGTTTAACCCACAGCGCCACCTGTGTCCCTTCTAAGGCGGTACTTTCTTTCAATCACCCACCCCTTTAACAAATGCAGCTCCTGAGGTACTTTCAGTAAGAGTCTTAAGGGCTCACCCCCCTTCCTTCACTGGGATTTGGAAGTCTCTTCTTTCCTCAGAAGAGTCTCTTCCCTCCAGATTAGTTTGAGACCTAAGTAGACTCGTCTCTTTCAGTTCCTACTTCTCCTGTCTCACACTCAGTCTCCGAGCAAGATTTGATCCTAATACTCCTTCAGGACACCGGAGTGGATGTTTTATTCCAGAACCAACTCTCCCTCCTCCACACTCTTTGTATTTCAATCTGACTCCTATCCTATCTTCCTACCTAACTCCCAACCTCTCCAGCCTCCCTCCTCAACCCCCTCAACTCAGCTCCCCTCTTAACCACACTCTAACTCCATCTCCCTAGAAATCCGCTCCTTTTAAACTCTCCCTCCTGGAACCACAGCCAATCAGAGGCTGCCGTTCTTTAACCATTTGCTGACAGGAAAGAAAAAGTAAAAAGAAATAATTGTGCAACTAACTTTTCTGTCAGAACAGACAACATTTTACAAGGACTGGAAGAAACACCACGGAAAGAATAATTGCCACAAGGATATAGTTTCTGTGCCTCATTTTTAGTTCTATTAATCATTTCATGTGTCAACACGAATAGAAGTTATTAATATTGCAGTTGTTTTCTAAGGGATTATTATTTTGACTGGAATATAATAGAAATTAATAAGATTTTGGAATGCAGAAATAAAGGAAATCATCTAGCATGTGGGGGGGCACTTAAATTATATGATACAGTATTTGAGTGATTAGTATTAGTATTACAATTTGGTATTGTTTTAATGACGCTATTATTGGATGGTAATTGAAAATAAATAAAAAATATTATAACAGAAATAGCATAAATAGACTTTAGAATCAACTTTAGAAACAACACACCTGTATTCTTAAAGATGGGCTTACTTGATATATTCTCTGCAACCACTCTTTCAAACTGGTATCATTCAGAAAAAAAGGTTTGTCTTATTAGTGTTAGTAATATCCAGTGTGTTTTCATCCAGATATTGTTGCATATCTCTGCTACTTTTCTTTCTTAAAACTTTTTTAAAAATCAAGGGAAATGGCTTTTTTAAACTTCCGCTTCTTCTATTCATCAGCTGCTTTGTGGGTGAGAGATAAAGAATGTAGAGCCCACAACTATTTCACAATGAATTTGCTTCTGGTACCCTGTGTTGTCTTCAAGATGAATTTGCAGATTCCAAGAAGTAATTGATAAGAGACTTTTTATTAACAATCATTCATACAGTACATGTACAACATTATACAACTGAAATTAACCATTTCTAAATGAAAAGGTTGAGAGATTTGATATTAAGATTCCATTTGCTTTAAATACATGACAGGGGTGTAAGGAGTGTTAGGGAGGGGTAGTAACTCTACTGGGGAACAAGTCGTGCTCCTTCTGGGGTATTTGTCTACCTCTGACCCCCACCCTGAACTCAGTTCTCACCTGTCGCTCCTAGATATTGTCAGCTTGCAACAGCAGCCACATCCCAAAAAACAAATTCAACTGACTGCCTAAACCAGGTGAGGGCAGCCAATGGGCCTCAAATCCTCAGTGAGTTAGGGAATTTCTCTGCATGCAAAGACAGGATATAGCAGATGAGAGCAAAAGTGGGCTCATGCTCAAAAAGGTGGCTACTGCAGGTGCTGTAGAGGGAAATGAGGGGCAGATGGGTCTCGTAAACCTAGGAAGGGAGCCCACCTAGGAGAAGGAAACTTTGAACCTGAACTTCCATTGCTTTACAGCATTACTCATTTGTGAAAAAGGCTTTGGGAGTAGAACCTGAGGAAAAATCTGTACCCATTGCCTCTGGGACATCTTTGGCAGACAAAAAAGTTAAGAAGCAAACTCTACACATATCCAGAGTCAGGACTCGGAAAGTGATACCATCCAGCAAGTCCCAACAGAACCACAAATTCCACTGTCATTTATACCTTTCTTTGTGTTAGCTGCTCTCTGTTGTTTAGGTCAGGCCTCAACACAATAATGTAGCATTTAGGAGTGAAAATGCAAGCCAGTAACCCAGCACCAGAGGCAAAGATGGAGAAGATCTCCACAGCCACCATGTATTTTCCTCTGGTGCTCAGGTAGGTTGGAATGAAGGAGAGCCAAACACTGCAGAAGACCAGCATGCTGAAGGTGATGAACTTGGCTTCGTTGAAAGTGTCAGGCAACTTCCTGGCTAGGAAGGCCACCGTGAAGCTGATAGTGGCCAGGAAGCCCATGTAGCCTAAAACACAATAGAACATGGAGACTGACCCTTCATTACATAGAAATATGATTTCTTCCGTCATTGAGTGCATGTCCACATCTGGGAATGGCGGAGAGGTTGCCAGCCAGAGGACACAGATTCCTACTTGAACAATGGAGCAGGAAAAGACAATGGAATAAGCCAGTTCTTTGCCTACCCATTTCCTCATATTGGATCCTGGTTTGGTAGCCATGAAAGCCAAAACCACCAATATGGTTTTGGCTAAGACGCTGGAGAGGGCCACAGAGAAGACAATGCCAAAAGCAGTTTGTCGGAGAAGGCAAGTCACCATATTAGGTTTTCCGATAAACAGCAAAGAAGAGAGGAAACACAAGAGGAGGGCAATAAGGAGACCATAGGTGAGGCTTCGGTTGTTGGCTTTGACTATGGCTGTATTACGATGCTTAATGAAGATGCTGAGCACCAGAATTGTGATTAGAGAGAATAAAAGTGCAGAGGAAGATGAAACAATGGCCAAGGTTTCATCAAAGGCTAGGAAGTTTGGAATCTTAGGAATGCATAGATCCTGGCCGCTGTTTGGATACTGATCTGCTGGGCAACTGACACATGTTTCCATATCTGAAAATACACAAACAATGTGTGACAATTTGAAGTAACCAAAAGTATTCTTAAGAATTTCCTCATCACTAGTCCATTTAGCATAGTGTTTTCTGCATTGGAATGTATAAGAGCTTCAAGACCAAATGCTTTTGTCAAACAACCTAAATCTTAGAGGAGAAAACACCTAGTCCACCCAAATTTTCTAGAAACTGGAGGTAAAATATATTAGCTGCCACTTGAAAAAGAAATCTTCAAGATGTTTTAAAGATTAAAATATATTGATTTTATCTATCTACAATGAGAACAACACACCTGTTAATTTAAGCCTTCTCTCCTGTAGCAGTTTAATGTCAACGAAATTGCCAGGAGCCCAGAGGTTCTACATTATCTTAAGATTCCATCTCTAACCTTTCTCATTTGAAATCATTCCTTCTGGACATGGATCACAATCATAGCAGCAAAACTTCTTCCCCTCCTTCTTTTTCTTCCCATAACCAGGAAGGCAGTTGGCATTACATAGAGAAAGCGGTGGCACCTACGCAAAGAGACAGGAAGAGTTTACTATTAAGATATTGTTTTGAGGAATTTTTCAATAATCCCATATCAGGTGATTTAACAGGAGTTCACATGGTGTTCCTTTTGTAGTGGCTCAAGGAGGGTCACTACAAGCAAATTATCTCATGACTTTTGGGTTGTGGTGTCCTGTTAGGCCCCATTCTGCCTCCTATGCTATTTATCATCTATATGATACTCTTAGGAATAATATGCTAAGATCTGGGACATGGCATCATCTGTATGCTGATGATATGCAGTTCTATATTTCCATTTCACTGGAATGAAAGGAAAGCTGAAGTTGTTTTACAGGTGTCTGGAGTGAGTGAGTGATGGATGGGATGGGGGCTGACTCCTTATCATAGAGAAATGCTTTGGGTGGGTGGTTCCTACACCTGCCTTGTTCTGTGAGGGGTTGCATGCCCTTTGAAGCAAGAGATCTGGGAGGACTCCTTGATTCTAACTCATCACTAGAGTCTGAAATATTTTTTGGTGCTAGCTAGGAGTCCTCCACCCACCTTAGACCTATTCACCAGCTACAACCACTCCAAGGTGTATATATCCTGAACTTGCTTCATACAAAATCAAGAAATTATGATGTTCATTCTCAACCCAAATACTGATACAGCCAGCTTAGTATTTAATCTAATGCCACTAACTGGAGAACTGCTTCATGGACTTCATAAACAAGAATGGCGGATGATGCTGGACTCTCTGATAGCCATTGCTCCTTCTTAGTGGGAGATGTCTTCTGCGCATGTTGCTCATTTTGGTATTGTGGCTCATTTGTTTTTGTACTGATAGACCTTACAGCGTTTCTTAAAGGACAATATTTTCTCCTGGATGGCTTATTGACATGCAATAAATAAAAAGGGAATGTCAGTATCACATGAAATGTAATGCTACATACAAAGAAAAGTGCCAATAGTAAAATTGAAGGCCAACAAGCACAGCCTCAGAGGCTGAAGGTGGAAACATACAGGAAAAGTCACTCTATCAAAAAGAGAATCTCTCCATTAAAGCGCTATCCATCTAGATATGAAAACTATATATGAAAAATAAGCTATATTAAATAATAAATTTCAAAATTATTAATGTATGAAATGCTTTTGTTACATCCCATTCTGTGGAAAACCAGGGTCTGTGCCATTTTTTCCATACCTGAGTGAAGTCTCTGTGCCATTTCATTCCGTCCTCCTTAATGGTGAGCTCTTTGCCAGGAGGGGCCTGAGGATCCAGCCTTCCCACTTTGACTCTGATGTATGATCTATTTGGGAAAGTGACCAAGTTGGTAATATCAAGGCCAGCTGCTAACTCTCCATATTCATTTAATGCAATTTCATCCCCAGCACTGTTGTTGAATGAGATTCTCTGCAGGAATGAGTGGAGCTAAGAGGAAGAGCATAAAAAGGTCTATAAAACATTCAAACAGTCTGATTAAGATTGCTGAATAGCTTTCCTAGACGGAATGAATTCCTTTTCCTCTAGAAGTTGAACACTTCAGTCCACAATGGAGAGGAAGGGTGAGAAAAGCAGGGTCTAGAGACAGTGCTCACACAGTTGCTAGCCTCTTCTGGTGACCTACCAGTGAGGCCATGTTTGGCTTCAGGGGCCAGAAACCCCTGGCAGTGGGTAGACAGGGAAAGATGGGGTCTTCCAGGACATGCCCAAGCAGTGGCGGCCACTCAAATGCAGAAGCCAGTGCCTGACGTGGGGGTTCTGGTTGTGCTCCCTCAGAATTATGTAAACTGGGGCAAGGGCCCCCGGCCTCCATCCTTTCACCACTGGTTAACTGGAAAGGTAAGAGAGACAGAGAGAATTGTGGAGGGATGTGGATAGAAAATGGAGGGGTTTTGTAGCATGGAGAAGGTGGTTGGCACAGCTACAGTTATGTGTAGTTTTTGGTAGTCTGTTGCTTGTGAAACCTCTGTCATCTAAAGTCTGTGTAGTATCATTATAGGAAACATTCTAATTCCCATCTTTGATAAAATTACTAAAGTTTTATTTTTTAATTTCTTAAGTTTTATTCTTTTGTTTCTTTACTGATAAGTAATTGCCTACTCACAAAATGTACCAATGCAGTGAATGCTTTGTAACAGGGAACAATACCTGCCAAGGATCTGCATACCAAGGAAAGAGTTTTCCCTTAGCATCTCTTCTGTTGCGGATGATTCCAGCCAAGTGCATGCTATTTAAGGCATGTGCCAAAGCGTAGACAGCATTATAAATACTGTAGCTGTGCCCAGTCATGCTCATTTCAAAATATGGTGCAGGGAGGCTCTGCAGCATCTCCTCCCCAGTACACATGTGATCGTTGGATGTTGAGAGAGTGGCGTTTGAAAGTGAACAACTGAATGCATCTTCCCAGAAATCTTGGATAAAACCATCTGTGTCTGTCCAATGAGGGTATACACTCTGAAGAAAGTCTTTAAAGTTGTGAATCTCCTTGGAGTGAATTGCAAAGGAGATAGCACCGTGGAACATTCGTATATTAACAGTAAATTTTTGAAGGCTATATAATATGAAGTCAATTTGGGTAGTTGTAATCCATACTTTTCCTTCACGTGACTTCTTTTGGGGAAATAGTAGCTGAGATAACTCCATTATGCTTAAAGCAACTGACAACCATATAATAAATCTACTTTCTCCATATACAAGAACTGCATTGGCTCTGCTGGTTGTGAAAGTTGGTAACAAAATCTTTATGTCCACCATTTCTTGTAAGTTAGTATTATCACGTATATTGTGTTTAAATCTTTCTGTGAATGCTGAACAGATTCCATTCTTGAGAAGCATTCGCTCAATGTTCTGCAAGAAACGTTCTCCAGCTTCATTAGCTGGAGTCATGACCCCAACCCATTTCCATCTGAAATGCAGAAGTAACTGGATAATTCCCTGATACTGAAGGTCTTCATTGGGGACCATGCGGTAAAAGGAAGGGAACTGGGTTCCATAATTTATGACTGGTTCAAATGAACCATATGAAATCTGGAAAAAGCAAAAGCCAAGCGTTTCCAAGTGGAAACAAGAAATCATGATATCCCAAAATATTTGTATATAAACACACACACACACACACACACACACACACACGCTGAATATATATCCCAAATGTACCAAATTACCTAGCAAAACAGATATAATCTTGCTCTTGGTTTCTGTAGATGTTTATTGTTATTATTATGGCATCATCCCAGCTTTATACTTGTACACATTGATTGTCTCCAAGTAGAGAGAAGCATTGATCATCGCTCATGTTTATATATTAAGTGGATGACTCAACAAAACTCCATAGTGGAGGTGGATCATGTACTTTTGCTATGTAACCTTTAAAGCAGTTGAAGATAGAGATTAAGTCTCTATCTTCTAAGAACTCTCTCGGGAAGATTTCCCGAGAATTCCGAAGAGCTCCATAAGTTTATGTATGTTATTGTTCTCTGAGCACAATAAACCACATCATAAAAAATATCAGTAAAATGCAAAATAACGTACCAGGCACTAGTTAAAACAATGAAATCCAACAATGAAGTAGAACAGCACAATGCTGACACCACTATGTATAAAACTCTCTGAAATCACAGGTGACAAATGCCAGAACGATAGCCAGAAAACAGTCTTTTCAATTAGCTTCTGAAAGTGAACTTTGGGAAATGACTATCTTGATTTTTAAGGGGACAAACATTTTTTAGTTAATGAGCCTTGAGTTGTTCCAAATATTGAAGCCATTGTCAATGTCATAAATTGAGTAGCTCACAGGAAGCCAGTGCAGTGCTTTCAGGATTGATATATTTGAACCAGTCTAGGCTTCTCCTTTACAAACCTGGGAGCAAACCTCTATTACATCTATTAAACACAAATTGCCCTTCTTACAAACATTGTTATATGCATATTATGCCCCTTTCACTTTGTCCATTTCCCCACTCCATATACATGAATCAGTAGATTCCTAATGCAAGGAAAGCATGAAATCTCTCTTTTTCAAAATCCATATTCTACCTGTGGAATCTTGAAAAGACCTAAGACGTTTGCCATGCACCAGGAGGTATCAGAGCTGAGTCCCCCAATGACTCCTATGACGTTTTTCTGGATGCCACACCTGTAGTTGGGAACAAAGTGATGTGATTTAAAGAGCAGGTCCAGAGTGTTTCGGTAGGTCATCTTTGAATCATAATAGCTATCATAGATGTGGAACCCGAGCGAGACATTGGGCAACATCCTGGGATTTTCGTTGATCTCATCAACAGCAAACACCAAGGCCAGGATTTGCTGGTAGAACTTTGTCAACACCCTGCAAATGAAATAAGAGTGGGAAAAGTAATCATAATCTAGGTATGAGAGACTCATCTGCCTGCCTTTATAAAGAAAGGACAAAGCCAGCAAAGTTTATTTACTTATTAGGCAGTTTCATGATACTGTGTCATTAAAAAAGCTGTTGCACATTTCTTCAATATCTTGAGCAACCCATGTTTGTTTTCACCTGCTTGAAAATTTGGGTATCATCAACAAAGTTGAGTACAACACTTTTGGCTATATGTTTCTCCTAGGTTTTTATGCCTTTTCTCTTTCTCCTACTTAATGTTCTTGACACTATGCACATAGCTTATGTACACAGAGATTTCTAATAAAATATCCACACTCATTTTTTCAAAAAAAAATTCTAAAGCTATATTTTTCCAAATCAATTAAAGTTATTTTCAGTCAGATACAGCATGTAAGGAATAAATAAAATAATGCTAATTACCGGTTACTTACAGTGGGGTATCAATGAAGACCTGGGAAGGGTGTTTATTGAAGGATAATTTGGGGTCTATGTAATAGATATGAGATGCCATTGCACCAATGACCAGGTCACCTGGCTCATACCACTCGTGTGGAACATGAACGGGATTATTTGTTGCGCATTTAGCACTTTGTACTTGGGACACTATATTGGGGAGCAGCAGAAGCAGCAGGAGCAACATCCTGATGGCAAATTCCCTTGTCTGCATGGACTCCCCTGCTTCTCTCAACAGTATTATTCCTCTCCTCCACCTGATCTGAACAAGACGAATTGGGTGGCAGCTGATTCCGTCAATTTGGCACTTTAAGGGAAATGTATCCACCTTATTGTTAGCTTGAACACTGTCACAACAGAATGCCTTGGATGCCAAATAAGATGCTGTGGTTTGATATGAAAAAGGGAAAGTGATAACTGATAAGTAACAAAGCCCTGCCTAGTTGTCTATGGAGCACAGAGGAGGTTTATAATCATTTCAGGCTTGCTTGTTGATTCTTTTTCCCCACTCTGGCATTTGGAGGTTCAGTCAGGTGGATTGATTATTGTAATTTGAGTAATGATAGGGGAGAGAATCACTTGTGTAGTGTTTTTGGATTCTATGGTGCATCAGCAGTAGGGGAACTGCCAAAATATTACTATTATTATCTTTTAAATATATTTTTTATTAATTTCTCAATATTGTTCCAAATGCAACCTCATTATAACAATATCAATTTTATCTAATTAATGCAATTATGAATGCCAATTATTCAAATATCAAATCATATTATTTAATTAAACTGGCCCCCATGCATGATAGATGTGATGGCTTCATTCTTCTTCATTAATTCTGTGTTCCACTATGTTAATAATTTCCATTGCATTCAATGCACATATAATAATCTCTTATATAATAGCTACAGTCTTGTGATTTCTATTTGTGTTGGTATATTAGATAATTTATAAAGTTTAAAGTGAGGAACTCTAAGTGTAATCCTTCTTCTTTCCTGCGTGTGACAATTTCCCCTCATGATGTTTTTCCCGTCCATATATGGTGCTGTATCTTTCTTTCCTGTTGATGGTTCCCATCATGCCCTGGGAGAAGCAGTTATCCCACAGTTTCCAAAAGTCACTGCATCGCTTTGTCCTGTGATTCGGCTTCCAGTAAAAAAGCAGTGTTCACCATTTTTTCCAGCCTAGGAGGAACGATCTGAATACAGACCACAGATAGTGAATCCAAAAGCATCTATTACTGCAGCTGGTAGACAGGAAGATGGATCTGCCAATGTAATTATATTTGTAACATCACAAAATCATAGGCAAGGAATGAACCTACAAGGTCATCAGGATGTATAAAGATGAGCTGGCCCCATCCTTTCGCCGCTGCCTAATTTGTTAGTACTGTGGTATCCATCACTCTCCCACCTATGTAACACTGATCAAACATCGTTTGCCATCATATTAACTGAATGGTGGCAGCAATTCTGGATAGCATACTTGCCTTATCAAGAAGTGGTGACACTGGATTATAGTATCAATAGACCAATGGATATCAGATCCACACAAAGCATGATGGAGAACAGCAACAACTTGGAAAAAATGGATGCGACAAACTTGGCGCCTCAGTTACTGCTCACGCCCATGTGTCTGCTCTCACTTAAATATATTGCCCCCACCTCACCGAACAACCTTTGACCCGAAGGCTTAAAAACAAAACCTCACTATCCCAGGGGGATCTTTGTGAGGGGGATAACCAAGAAGTTGGTGTCTCAAGCAGGTGTTCTTTAAATAAACAGTAAGGATTTATTTTTAGAACAAAGTAGTATAATACAAGTGGAGAAACTTAGGTTACTTCAATAAGAATACACTACTTCACTTCAATTCACTTTATAGTTTGTTTCCTTTCTAAGTTGGTACTTTCCTTCATTTACCCACCCCTTTAACAAATGCAGCTCCTGAGGTACTTTCAGTAATAGTCTTAAGGGCTCACTCCCCATCTGCCTTCACTGGGATTTGGAAGTATCTTCTTTCCTCAGAAGAGTCTCTCCCCTCCAGATTAGTTGGAGACCTAATTAGACTCATCTCTTTCAGCTCCTCCTTCTCCTATCTCACACCCAGTCTCGCAGCAAAATTTGGTCCTATTACTTCTGCAGGATAATACACTCAGTGCTTCACTGTACACTCAGAGTGGATGTTTTACTCCAGAACCAACTCTCCCTCCTCCACACTCTTTATATTTCAACCTGACTCTCAACCTCTCCAGCCTCCCTCCTCAACCACCTCAACTCAACCCCCTCTTAACCACACTCTAACTCCATCTCCCTCCTAAGCCTCTCCTTTTAAACTCTCCCTCCTGGAACCACAGCCAATCAAAGGCTGCTGCTATTTAACCATTTGCTAGCAGGAGAAAAAAAGTAAAAAGAAATACTTGGGGAACCAACCTTTCCGTCACAACAGACACAACATTTTACAAGGAGTGGAAGAAACACCACGGACAGAATAACTGCCACAGACAGGAAGAACAAGGATGTAGTTGAGTGCCACATTTGTAGTTCTATGAATCATTTAATGTGTCAACACGAATAGAAGTTATTAATATTGCAGTTGTTGTATAAGGGATTATTATTTTGACCGGAATATAATAGAAATTAATAAGATTTTGGCATGCCAAAATAAAGGAAGTCATCTAGCATGTGGGGAGGCACCTAAATTATATGATTCAGTATTTGAGTGCTTGTATTAGTATTACAATTTGATATTGTTTTAATGATGCTATTCTTGGATGGTAATTGAAAATTAATAAAAATTATTATAACAGAAATAGACTATAGAATCAACTTTACAAACAACACATCTGTATTCTCTGAAGCCATTTGGCTTACTTGAGATATTCTCTGCCACCACTCTTTCAAACTGCTTAGAAGTATAATTCAGGTAAAAAAGGTTTGTCCTATTAGTGTTAGTAATATCCAATGTGTTTTCCTCCAGATATTGTTGCATATCTCTGCTACTTTTCTTTCCTAAAACTACTTAAAAAAACAAGGGAAATGACTGTTTTAAACATTTCTTTCTTCTATTCCTCAGCTGCCTTGTGTGTTAGAGATAAAGAATGTAGAGCCCTCAACCATTTCACAATGTTTTTTGTTTCTGGTACTCTTTTTTGTCTTCAAGGTGAATTTGCAGATTCCATGAAGTAATTGATAAGAGACTTTTTATTAACAATCATTCATACAGTATATGTACAACGCTGATCAACTGAACCTAACCATAACTAAATGAAAAGGCTGAGTTATGCTATTAAGATTCCATTTGCTTTAAATATACAGTAATACATGACAGGGGTGTATGGAGTGTTAGGGAGGGGTAGTAACTCTAGCGGGGAACAAGTCGTGCTCCTTCTAGGGTAGTTTGAGTGCCACGTTTGTAGTTCTATGAATCATTTAATGTGTCAACAGGAATAGAAGTTATTAATATTGCAGTTGTTGTATAAGGGATTATTATTTTGACTGGAATATAATAGAAAGTAATAAGATTTTGGAATGCAGAAATAAAGGAAATCATCTAGCATGTGGGGGGGGGCACCTAAATTATATGATTCAGTATTTGAGTGTTTAGTATTAGTATTACAATTTGATATTGTTTTAATGATGCTATTCTTGAATGGTAATTGAAAATTAATAAAAATTATTATAACAGAAATAGTGTTTTCCTCCAGATATTGTTGCATATTTCTGCTACTTTTCTTTCTTAAAACTATTTTAAAAACAAGGGAAATGGCTGTTTTAAACGTCTCCTTCTTCTATTCATCAGCTGCTTTGTGGGTGAGAGATAAAGAATGCAGAGTCCTCAACTATTTCACAATGTATTTTGCTTCTGGTACCCTGTGTTGTCTTCTAGACGAATTTGCAGATACCATGAAGTAATTGATAAGAGACTTTATTAACAATCATTCATACGGTACATGTACAACATTAAACAACTGAACTTAACCATTTCAAAATGAAAAGGCTGAGAGTTTTGCTATTAAGATTCCATTTGCTTTAAATATACAGTAATACATGACAGGGGTGTATGGAGTGTTAGAGAGGGGTAGTAACTCTAGCGGGGAACAAGTCGTGCTCCTTCTGGGGTAGTTTGTCTACCTCAGATCCCCACCCTGCCCTCAGTTCTCATCTGTGGCTCCTAGAAGTTGTCAGCATGCAACAGCAGCCACATCCCATGAAACAGATTCAACTGGCTCCCTAAACCAGGTGAGGGCAGCCAATGGGCCTCAAATCCTCAGTGAGTTAGGGAATTTTTCTGCTTGCAAAGACAGGATATAGCAGATGAGAGCAAAACTGGGCTCAATGCTCAAAAAGGTGGCTACTGCAGGTGCTGTAGAGGGAAATGAGGGGCAGATGGGTCTCGTAAACCTAGGAAGGGAGCCCACCTAGGAGAAGGAAACTTTGAACCTGAACTTCCATTGCTTTACAGCATTACTCATTTGTGAAAAAGGCTTTGGGAGTAGAACCTGAGGAAAAATCTGTACCCATTGCCTCTGGGACATCTTTGGCAGACAAAAAAGTTAAGAAGCAAACTCTACACATATCCAGAGTCAGGACTCGGAAAGTGATACCATCCAGCAAGTCCCAACAGAACCACAAATTCCACTGTCATTTATACCTTTCTTTGTGTTAGCTGCTCTCTGTTGTTTAGGTCAGGCCTCAACACAATAATGTAGCATTTAGGAGTGAAAATGCAAGCCAGTAACCCAGCACCAGAGGCAAAGATGGAGAAGATCTCCACAGCCACCATGTATTTTCCTCTGGTGCTCAGGTAGGTTGGAATGAAGGAGAGCCAAACACTGCAGAAGACCAGCATGCTGAAGGTGATGAACTTGGCTTCGTTGAAAGTGTCAGGCAACTTCCTGGCTAGGAAGGCCACCGTGAAGCTGATAGTGGCCAGGAAGCCCATGTAGCCTAAAACACAATAGAACATGGAGACTGACCCTTCATTACATAGAAATATGATTTCTTCCGTCATTGAGTGCATGTCCACATCTGGGAATGGCGGAGAGGTTGCCAGCCAGAGGACACAGATTCCTACTTGAACAATGGAGCAGGAAAAGACAATGGAATAAGCCAGTTCTTTGCCTACCCATTTCCTCATATTGGATCCTGGTTTGGTAGCCATGAAAGCCAAAACCACCAATATGGTTTTGGCTAAGACGCTGGAGAGGGCCACAGAGAAGAC